ATCATAACAGAAGCCGGAAACTTAACTTTCTTTTTAAGACAGTCATTCTGAAACATTTCTTCTTTTGTTCTTATGACACGACTCCTACAATCAACAATCCATATTTTAAATCTGGCTTCATCATTCCAAATAATGGAGTTCTATTGGTGCGGAGACCATAACTGATTTGCCCTTTGCCCACGCTAGTCCATTTTTCTTCTAAATCTTTGTCAGTAAGGGCTTCTATGCCTATGATATATTGAATTAAAAACAAACAAAAAGCAAAAATTATTCAAGCATACCTTGTAAATTTTAAATCTCAGTTTTTTAGCAGCTCTATGACAAATTGGTTGGAAAATGTTTTTCCCGTTGCCTGATTTCATAATATTTTCAATTTGTTATAATTAGCATGGCGATTTTGCTTGATAATTCTTTTTAAAGCTCTTAAGTTGGCATTGCAATATTGCAGTTCTCTGTTTTTGAGCCATATATCCAGTTGTTTTGTACAGTTTAATAATATTTCGAACTGTATATCTCGATTATCTCGATTTATTAACACTGTCAGGGATTTGGGAAGAATTTTGGCCCTTCAAATGCAAGTGAATTATCACTTTCCTCATTTCGTCAGAAACAGCTTCACCACGAGCCATTTTTACTTTCCTATCTGTACACAGATAAGGAAAGTATAGGAATCATGATTTTTTTCGACCTTGAGTTTTCGACGGTTATAAATGTTTAAAATAGCATCCGTTTTACTAAATACACATTCGGAACCGTTTTAAAAAGGAAACCCTTTTTTGGTAGATCATTGGCTTCTGACGAAATCAATTTGCACTTTCAATGATTCGATGCCTCAGTTGTTGTTCGTCGATTATTTCAATAGAATATACGTCACCTTTCATAAGAAGCAAAAGTCAATAGGGTTAAGATCTGGTCTTCCGGCTGGTCAAGAAATAGGTGTATAAGTATTATATATTTTGCCTTATTCCTAAATTTACCTCTTTTAAGTACTCTGGTAAATCACTTTGTAAGAACTGTAAATCATTTGCGGAATTTAAATTATTTGGAAGAAGTACTGGTCGTAATAAATTATTATTCACAATGCCTGCCCTAACATTGACTTTAAAAGTCCTTTGATGATGAGTCACTTTTTTTACGTAAGGATTTTCTTCGGCCCATTTGGATCGGATTTCGATTATTTTCGGTTATGAACCTGCGCAAAATCCCATTCTTTTAGGATAATCTTCATCTAGTAATTCTTAAACGGTTGTTAAGTGACCTACAACTAATTGAGTAGCTATTACTCTTATACTACTTCCAGGGTTTTCTTCGACTAATTCAAAAATCTTCTCATTGTTTGTATCCATTTTTGGACGACTATTACTAGCAAGTTGCGGTCGCAAAGTACCCACCCCGTAAACGTCGATCAATGAAAAGAAATAATCGTCTTTCTTATATATATTATATTCCGATTGAGATATGTTTCCACATAACGCCTTGCAACTGCTGCCCTATTCCCTTAGCATTCAGCTGTGATTACCAGAATTACAGATAATTATCTGAAAACTTGTTTAACCTTGACCAAACTTAACAAGAATTAAATGCATATATGCCATTTTTGTAAACGTGTATACCATTGCAACAGAAAGTTTAATTTTTCTTAACACTCTTAAAATTCACAATAATCGAATGCTTCAATTGACAGTATTAATAAAATTGGTGTAAAGTAACTGTTATTTATCCGTAGAAACTACAAGTGTTGAATAGCCAACTTTAAAATTTTCGAAAGATAATTAAAATGAAAAAGTGATAAGAGGCAAAAAAATGATGTAATAAACCAATGGTGTCACAATACTAATTTAATTGTAAAGCATAGAAAAGTTTGGGAGGTTTTAGGGGTTCAAAACTATTTAAAATTTTTATGGGCTGTACAGAAACTTCATCTCGAATCGGTCAGGTAGAATTTTTAACAACGAAACTGTATCCCGGATACAACGAAACTGCTTTCGCGGTGCAAATTTTATTACTACTAAAATTCTACGAAAATTTCACCAGTATTGTCAAATGTAATTTTTGAAAGTAGGTACCTACAAAAGAAACATGCATAAAAGGTACTTTATTGAAGCCTTACGAGAAAAATGTTAGAAAATGGGACATGCATATAACAGAATTATTGGAAGATATATTTTTATATACTGGTTATTCCAGTAATAATTAACATAGTAATAATTGTTGTTATGTAATGAGGTTATTTAGATAAAACTAACTTAAATTACCAAATGGACTTTTAAATAGCTTCAATTCCAGGTATAAACGGATTATCTATGGGGTGTTTTTGTGCAGCTTATAATAATGAAAACATTTTATTTAAGTGAGAGAGGCATGTCATTATTGGTAATTCATGGCTATACATTCAGTTTTAAAAAAATGTTGGCCAATAAAACATTAAAACAATGGCAATGCAGTAAGCGAACATGTAAGGCATTTGTGAAAACCCAAGGATCTGACGATACAATAGTGCAATCAGTTTTGGATCATAATCATGAAAAGTTATCCGTTGAAGTTTTTAACAGACATCTTGTGAGTAATTCAGTTAAGCGTAAAACCCTTAAAACGAAATTAAAAATTTTGCAGTCGAAACCTTAACCACAAAGGACATTGTAAGTTTAAGGCAAAGTATATACAATGCTAGATCTTCTCTTCTTTTTAAAAATCCTAAAAATATTTCCGAATTTCATATGGCAATTGAGTCGTCTCCTATTTTAACCAATCAGAAAGAAAACTTCTGGCTTAAAAATGACAAAGAAAATAATATTGTCATATTTTTGTGTTTATCAAACCTAAAATTTCTGTCATCTGTGTCTTGTTGGTATGTTGTTGGTACATTTGAATATTGTCTTCGTTTTTTTACTCTGTTGTTTACAATTCATGGTCTTAAAAATGATCATTACATTCCATTAGTTTTTTGTCTCCTTCCTAATAAAACATTCTTTATATAATCTTGTTTTTAAGTATATAATAGAGGAGTGTGTCAAACTTAACCACCCTGTTTCGCCAAAAATGATAACAGCAGATTTTGAGATTGTTATTCATAAAAGCATCTAGAAGGCGTTTCCAGAAGCAAGTCTACGAGGTTGTCGCTTTTAATTAGGGCAGTCATGGTATCGAAAAATTCAGAAATTAGGCTTTGCTACAGAGTACCAAAAAAAGGGGGAGAGTGAAACGGAAATATCAAAGTTTTTAACCTTTGTTTTTGGATTACTATTTCTTCATCCTGAAGAAGTAAACGACATTTTCGCAACTGATTTAACAAAAATTAAGCCTGTCAATGAAAAAGTTACGCAGTTTTGTGATTATCTCGTTGTCAATTATATTGCAGGAGACTCAACTTTTCCACCATTTATATGGGCAGAGCATTCTTCTTCTTTGCAGTGAACCACCAATTTTTGTGAGTCTTTTCATTTGATATATAATGCTTCATTTTACGCCGCTCATCTTAATGTGAATGTTTTTCTAATGTGATAACTCAATCTCAAATTGACACATATAAAAATTAATAGTGTTCTAATCCCAAAACAACTTGACACTCGAAGTTTAAGGAGAAGATTTCTCGAAGAATTGCCGAGTGATTTAAAACAACATAAAATAAGTAAATTTTATAGCTAAATTTGCTTAGCCTACGATAAGTGATCCTTACCTTATTGGGATACAATTTCGTTGTGACCTTTTTAATAAGAGCCCCACAGATTTCGTGAAAAAGATGTTCTTACGATAAGAAATCTATATATCCATTTTCATTACAAAATGATAAACAGTTCATTAAATATTGGAAAAAAAACGATTTTCGTTTTGTACTTTCCAAGGGCTCTAACTTTTTTTATGTGCACATTTGTATAATGGAAAGTTATGTTCAATCGAGTTATTTTTGACCCCAGAATATGTGATTCCATGTATGATCTACTTTTTGTTACACCCTACATATATGAATATCTTCTAAATGTTTCACATTATGTATTGCTAAAAGATCATTTATAAAAATATAATAATCTGCCTGATTGAAGGAAAAGAACTTTGAAAGACCTGAGCTAATTACTTGGTTCTCCACATCAGCGGGTTTAAAATTAGAGACTACGTAATCAATAATAATTGTAGATATTGTTTTTGTGATTCTGGTTGGAGAATCTACGTGCATATTGAGACTAAATTATTCAAGAATATTTGTCACAGACTTTTAAATAGTACACTCATGATCAAAGTCGATAGTAAAATCACCGCATAAAATGTTGCTACTTTTTATAGACAATGCGACAAATAAATTAAGAAGGTTCTCGAGAAGGTTCTTGAGAAAGTTCTCGAATGTTTTATTAATAATTATTTCAAAATATAGGGAAAGGTAAAAACGGTTTAGACAAAAATATCTTTTAGGTTGAATTTTTTAGCGGACTTGTTCAAAAAAGTCCACCGAAGTACAGAAGTAAATTTAATAAAAAAAAAAATAGGAAACAGTAATGGAAGGTTTTCTAAAAAAAAACAAATAAAACATTAATCTTAATGATTTTCACAAGTTTGTAGACGAACATAAAAAGCAAGTCCAAAAAAAAATATGTAGAACCTTATTGAGAAAATGCCGAGGAAAATGTAAATAATTCTACTAAAAGTTCCACCACGTATCCTTTTGAAATCGTCTATAACCATCTGGAAAGTTCCGTAACTGTGTCAAATGACTACAGAGTGAAAAAATTCTCTGCTCATCAACAATCGATACTAAATATAAATTATTAAGAACTCTTCATAGAGTCACGTGGTTTTGTTTGTATGGAATTGAACTAGAATTTAAACGATGATGGAGGAAATGTATTTCCATGCCGGCCGCGTCAGATAGAGTTTTGTTATTACAGACACTTGAAGTGCGCTGAATCCTCCAAAAAATCTACGAGTTCTAAACCACATTTTAACTTCATCAAAACGGTTTTCAACTTTGACTAAGCTTAAGATTATTTTGACTTTTAAATTGTGAGTTTAAAATGAACGTTTCTGGTGCAGGTCTGAACTTCAAGAAATCTAATATAAGGATATGGATTCACCAGAGGAACATGGCAAATTTGCAGCAAGTTGTTTGGGAGGGCCATGGCAATATGTTGCTGGTTGAGCATAGCAATAATCCTAAAATTAAGAAGTTTTTGGAGGTTGTGCCGCATATAATGGTAAGTAATAATAAGTAGTAATTTTTTTGTAAATTCTAAAATTGAATTACTATTTTTTTAACAAGGAAACCGTCGTAGACAATGCATATTCAGATTTTATTTTATTAGACAACTAACTGATCTGAGAAACAGAGATTAAAAAAGAATATTTTCTTTCTGGTTTAGATGTTAAAAAGTTACTCAACCATATGGTATTTTTATTATTAAAATAATTTACTAAATACATTCTTGTAGATATAAATTCAAATATATAAACTAAACTAGATGTCGCAGCAAACAGTTGTAAATGTTATTAGTTTATATAGAACTTCCTAAAAATATCACAAACAAAGGTATCTGAAAATTCGACTGCAAACAACATATAAATGACATTCAGTTTAATTTTAAATTTAAGGTTGTCATGAAAGTTAAACATCGCTCAATCCGGTACCCTATTCTCAAACTCAGGAGAGTCTCCTATACTTACTACTCCATCATCAGTGTTGCCAGATGACCAAGTTCAAATTGTACCATGGTGTAGATTATTATTGTTTTTTTCAGGATTTTATCGTACAAACTGACCTTACTAGTGTGACGTTATCGAAGGCTGGTTAATTTAAAAGTTTATGGGGTTAGGGTTGGGGTAATTTAATAATAATATTATGTAATAAACATAAAAAACAATAATACTTAACCTTTTCGTGTTTCAAAAATAATTTTTTCTTCTTGTAATCCTTTCTGATTTTGATCTTCCAATTGTTTTTGTCTATACATTTTTAAAGATGTCAATTTCATTTCATCTGTAGGTGTGAAACTTACACATCCATTACCCAAAGGATTACCGCACTTTCCTTATGTAAAGTGACGACCGGTTAAATTTTCTAAAACTTTGGTATATTGTACCAGGTAACCAAAAGTATTAATAGGCTCAACTCAATCCTATAACTGGTTTTCGGTATATAGGGTGTTAAAGTTGAAAATTGCTTAGATTTTCGAAATTTTTATTTAAATTACAAAGCTAGATTGAATTTCTGTTACATACACACGTTTATTATGTTTTATTATTACATTAGTACCTATGTAAAATTAAAAATATTTTCAGTTACATGGTGATTCACAATGTATAAATAATTTTACTATGTCGTCAGGGAAGCATATTTTTAACAAATAAAATAATATACAATACGCATTTCTTATACAGGAAGTTTCATAGAGAAAACCACAACATAAAATTATTTTTTAAGGATTAATTCATAACCGTGTAGGTACATAATAATTTATTTTTGGGAAAGGTAATACCACTTAAATATGTGTACCTCTAAGCTTCAAAATATATAACGTGATTTATTTGTTCGAAGATATTCCATTTTAAGAAAAGTACAAAAACCACTAAAATTTCCCCGGTAAAATGTAACCATTTTTTTAGTATATAATGCTTTTATACCACCTTTATATGAGATGTGAGTTTTAAATTCGAGATATGGGGGCCTATTCTCCAATGTCTATTAAAAATGTCGCATTCATCATAATGTCTATGAATATGTCGATCGACTGACACTATCCGTATTCTCAAAGACAAATAGACATTTTAAAAGCGGTTACATATTTGGCGAATGGTAACATCTGACAACATTGTATAGAAACATACAATACGAGTATATTATAGCAGACAATTACTTGAAGGATCTCTTAGTAATACAAAATAATACTGAAAATATATCCCGAATATATATCTTTTTGATAAATACTAATTAGAAAGTAGAGACAATATAATATAAACTTTTTAACTGAAATTTCATGAGGGATTAAATAGAAAATTGGAAGTGCAATTTAATAAGAGATGAAATAAAAAGAAGAAGAAATATATTATTATAATATAAACTAAACACTATACAGGGTCATTCTATATGGGCGGAACACTTGATTTATTACTTAACTATGACTTGTACGATAATTTGACTTAGATAAAAGTTTTTGTACATTTTAGGTACTATTTCTTGACGTTTACAGATTTCCCGCATACGTAATGATTTTCAAGATATGACGTCATCGGGCAATATTTTAAATGGATCACCCTGTATTTATATTTTTTTCGAGTTCGTATGATCTGTCTCATTTCATCAATGGTACATTAAATGGGTCCCAGACTTACGGTCTTACCAATAACAATTAAATTAGATTATACTTTAATAAGACACATTTTAAATATTTTAAATGGATCACCCTGTATTTATATATTTTTTTTTCGGTTACCTGGCAATATCATGATCTATTAACAATAAATCTTAACGTTAAATCACAGTTAATACAAATATCTTTAGTGTACAGATTAAGTATTTGATTATTATTACTAACAATGGAACTAATTGTAAGTGAACGTGAAAGAATTACTCAGTTGATGATGGTTGGTTTTGGAGATAGAAAGACAGGTTTACAAGAAGCTGCCGATTTGTTTATTGCTACAGTTCCTGACAGAATGTCTTTAATTTTTAAGTCGACAGTGTATCGAAATTTACGCAAGTTTAACGAAACAGGTAGTGTCAAAAATATTCCTGGTAGTGGACGAAAGAGGACAGCTACAAATGAGGAGATGCATATTTTATTTCCCTTTTTTCTCCTAAAACGACGCCCATGTTCTTCGGTAAAAAATAATATTAACGAGTGAAACGTAACCTCACTTCCTCTTTTATATTTGAAATCACATAAAACACAAATCTTTTCCTAGTATGAAATAAACCCTACAAATCAAAGTCACTTTTTACACCACCATACTTGAACGAATTTAAAAAAATTGTCTAAAAATAACTGGAAAAATAAATATAGAGATAGAGATATTAATCTATTTCTCTCTAATTAGAATCTTTCATGCGATATTATCAAGGCGACACAAAAATTGTTTACTGTCCTCTCTATACTACTCTGAGTTACAAACAGCCCTTTTCATGTCGCGTTCCGTTTTTACTTGATATATTAAACCTGTTGTTAATATACTACTAAGAAATTAAAGCAGCACTGTCACCAGCCAAAGGGTCCTGGAGTCCAGAAGGAACATCCATTCACAAGTGGCAAATAAAAATAATAAAAAAAATTAATTTAAAAGGACAAAAATTATCCCTTAATAGCATAGTCGAGCGGTTCTTCGCAAATAGTTTTAGACTCTTTTAGTCCTAAGGGAATAGAAACGCCAAGACTTATCAAATGCTCGGAATATTTAACTGATTTTAAAAGGGGGAGGAGAGATTAATAATAAGTATTAAAAAAATTAACAGATGTATATTTATAATAAGTACAAAATTGACTAATAGTCTAAAGAATAAATTACTTAAATTATATTTAGGGAATAAAGCAATAGTTGATAATATATCCAAATTTTAAACAAAGATTAATTACAATAGATAAACATTTAATTGAACTATACAGTTTGGGCTTATTAACAATCAAAAATATCACTGGAAAACTTTAACTACATAATAATATAAAATATGTATAAGATAAATATAATACTCGGGACGAAAAATGTAAAATTGGCATTTATATGTAAATCAATTAATTATTATCAAGCAAAACACTAAAAAAATATGTTAAAGATATTTACCCATAGTTCACAAATCGCTGTACAAAATCTTCAGAAAGATAGAGCTTTTTTTTCGTAATTTTATGTTTAAATAATTTTTATATTTGTGTTTGATAGATTTAAAACAAAGTTGAAACTCAATTTCTCAAAACCCACTTTATGTTGCTTCAATTATTCAGAGTAACGTATCAATGATTTATGCGAAACTTCAATGTAAAGTTTGTCAAAAAGTAGACGAAAAATTGACAAAAATCGTTTTCGTTGTTCAAATATACATTGTAAATAAAGACGTGACATCACTTTCGACTTCATCTTACGGAAACAAAACAAAACAAATGTTAAATTGTCAAATTGTATAATCTTTTTAAATACCACGCAGGTGATAATTTTTTTTTAAACATTTTGTTGTTTCCATACAAATTGAGCAAATTTCACTCAAAAAATCCTCTCGAAATATCACTCGACTAACGTCTCGTGGTATTTTAAGGAGGATTTTCTTTCGGGTATTTTAGACGCATAATTTCCAAGGAAACACAAAGTGTTATCAAAAATTATCACTTCTTCTGGTATAACCCTTAAATATTTGACAATATAATGCATTAACCAATGACAATTTTCTTTTATTCCAACACACGCTAATCAAAACAAAGCGTATCTGTAAACACTGGATGGTGCAGTGTTTTCACTCAATCCCAAAAAACTTCAATGTGAAGTTTGACAAGAAGATGAAGAAAAATGGACAAAAATCGTTTTGGTTGTTTAAATATACATTGTAAATCAGAAATTGACATCATTTTCGATTTCATCTTACGGAAACACAAACCAAATGTTTAAAGAAGTTTTGTTTATATTGGTAAATGTTTCCAAATACCAGGGGAGGTGCGAATTTTTTTTAAACATTGCGTTGTTTCCTTACAAATTATGCAAATTTCCAAAGAAACAACAAAATGTTCTCAAACAATTCTTATCTCTTGGGTATTACCTTTGATATTTTTTGCTGCCAATTTAATGACATTTATGTTTATAAAGATTACTCCTTTATACAGTGCGTCCATAAAGTAACGCATAAATTCATTATTGGCTAAATGAACAATAAAATTAGGAATTCCCAAAACAGGTTGATTTTTGATTTCAATTTACTATTGTTTCAAATCATAATCTAATATACAGGGTGAACCACTTTCGTGTAATGACGTCATCACCATTTTTTTCAAATGGAACCCCCCCTTTTTTTTCAATTTCCAAATTGCCTTTGCTGAGCTGATTCCAAAAATGTATAATATGTTGCTTCAAATTGGTACAGGGTGGGCAAAAATGCAAAAATTTACTTACAAAGTAATGAAAATAACGAATAAACGTAATAAACACATTAAATGAAATTACGTATTGTTATTACAACTACTTTGATAAACTATCAAGAACATACAGCATTATTCTTAATAATTGT